TTCAAACTGTCTAAAGGTAAAATGAATTACAGTGTATTGCAGATTAATGAAAAAGAATGTGCAGAGGAATACTAGGAATTTTTCGTGGTTGTCGTCGGAAGAAATGTGTTCTTTTATGGATTGTCCTATCCACTAGTCTTTGGTACCTGTTACATTCCGCTATTTTATTGACAATCAGTCGAACAATATCGTATGCGCCATCGGTAACTGTTGCAACCCGGTAGGATAGCTTCAAATTGGTTAGACACTGATCATATTATTAGCGTCTATTTCAGGATTTGGAAATAATTGAAGCGTATGCAAAATATCTGAACGAACATCATGTTACTGATAATATTTTTAATGTACGGATTACAGAATTGAGGCATGGCTTCAAGAAATCATTATCAAGTATATAATTTTCATCACTTATTAAGCTGACTCCATCTAATTCATAGAATTTCTGTACTTTAATGGATGTTTTTTTTTTACTCTACTGCATCAGTATGTGAAGATGTGAATGATCTGTTGAAAAATTTTTTTCTTTATTTTAAATGTGCGCTTCGTTTTTATACCACGACTGTTGATAATGAATTTAAATTTCATTAATTAACGTTGTACAGTTCCAGAAGAAACATTACATGAAATCTGTCAATATTCTGAATCCGACTTATCTTCGTATCCTTTGTGCAAAAATAAATTAGACTGGATGCAGTCTGGTTGGAAAACTCATCAATGCTATGCTGAAAATGGAGTAGACGGGTCATTTTGTTCGTTCGCTATTTATCTTTCTGAAGTGGAGAATTATTGCCCATATTTTCCTTGGCGAAAAAAAGGCTCGACATTTGCATCACAAGCAGATTTTGCCACAGTAGTCGATTTTATCAAACAGTTTTACAGTTACAAAAATGCCTTTAAATGTTATTTTGTGTTTACACGGCGGTTTGAATAGTTTTTCAAACAATAACTTTTATATTCTTTTCATTCGTTTACATTAATAGATTATTTCTGTATAGTCTATTCTATCTTTCGTACTTTTAGTATAGGTCCAAGGTGGATGGGTTGTTTGAAATAATGAGTGATAGTACTGTCAATTACGAATTTATTAAGACCAGAATTTCACGTATGTGGCCAAGGTGGGTCAGTGCTTTTGCCGATGTGAAGAATAAATGGCCTAAGACGCTGCTCAATCGGAGAAAGCTTACAGTACTTGTTAATTTCTCTCACAAACTAAATGCCGCTTTACTGATTTCTTTATTCTCTTGTTTGGATTTGTTTTGAAGTTATTTTGTTTGTTGTTCGATAATACAAGTCAGCTTTATTTTTGCAAATAGAGTATTACCTACAAAAAATTTAGATTATAATCCATTTGGGTTTCTTGACAAAGGAGGCGGGGTTCAAGTTTGGCGAAAAGGCGAATTCTGGAGGACCGTTAGGGGAACTGGTGCAGTGGTCGGATTTGATAGCTGCACTTTATATATTAGGACATGAACTATGGATTTCTTCCGAGACTGCATCGTTTAAAAAGTACTTTATAGACTTTAGTTTTAGGCAAGAATAATTATAATGCTTAGAAAGGTTTTTTGACTTGTTGGGTTTCTTATAAATTCCATTATTTACTCCAACTTTAAAAAACTGTCATAAAATCTGCTTCCTTTCCAGGAACGTAGTGCGTTTTATGGCAGATAGTCCCTGTCCTAATGTGTCGAGTAAAAAAATAGACTTACTTTTTACTGACATTACCGGAGTTCGTTATATGAGGCAGAAGTTGAACAGTTTTTACGCTCATAACGCGTGAGGATATAAGCTATTTTCATTAATAGTTAA